ATTTCCTTTGTCCTGTACCTTTTGTCTTTCCTTTTTTTTTTTTGTGATTCCTTCTTTATTTGTTTTGTACGTTTTTTTTGTTTGTTTTTTTTTTTGTGGATGAAAAGGCGACGATTGGCCCAGCGCACGTCGCGTGAGGAAGGAGCCACTCCCCATGTCCCGCGAGTGTGTGCCCACAGCCTGTAAGGCCGGTTCCTACGAGTTCCTCTTGTTTTTCGCTTGTTTTTGCCTTATGCAAGGGCCGCCGCCCCCCGCTACTTCTTCGCGTTGGACATGTACAAAGAAAGCAGGCTTCGTAAGTCCCTAATCTCGCGCTTCAGCTGCGTGGACTCCGCATCGGACTTGAGCAGTTGGTTTCCCACCTTCACTAGATCCTCCTTGAGGCTGACAACGGCAACATCCTGCGCCGTGGCACAGACAGGAATGTCAGGCACCGCCAAGTGCCGCAGTTCAAGCTTCTCCACCGTGCACTCCAGTGACTTCACCTGCTGCCGCAGCAACGCAGTGACTACACGGGCCTGCTCGCATTCCGCCATCATTTTCTCCCTCTCAGCCAACAACTCCATCACCGTCCGCTGGCTCCCGTTAAAGGCCTCCTGCAGGTCCCCTGCCTTCGGCGGGGCACTGACCGCGTGAGTGAGTTGCGTAGAGGGTGAGGCCGAGGCATTCAAAGCATGGAAGGGGTCCTCCGCAGCACGCATTTCCGCGGACACAGCACCAACGTCAACCGACTCCGTTTGACTCGCCACCCCCCGTTTTGCCGTCCTCTGGTGTCTCAGAGCACCGTAGAGCTCCTCCAACTCTTTCGTCCGCGCGCTGAGAGCAGCCTCGCGTGAAGTAAGTGTCGCCCTGAGACCTTCCCGCTCCTCCGTCACTGCCGTCAATTGCCGCTGCAAACTGGCAATGCTTGTCTGCGCCTCCGCCTTCTCACGCGCCCACGCCTCCTTTGCCGCAGCGGTGCTGCGCCGCTCTCCCTCAAGCTCGCGAAGCATGTTAGCGACGGCCGTCTCCTCCTGTCTCTTGAGGTGGAGCAGTTTGACATCCTGCTCACTGATCCTCGTGGCGGCCCGCACACGCGTGTCGTCAAGGTGAATGCGCATTCCCTGCAGCTCCAACTCGTACTGGCGCTGCACCTCAGCAAACTTGTTTGCCATGCGCATACTTTCGGTTCTAAGCTCTTCATTTCGCGCCGCGTAACTCTCAACGGAGGCGCGGGCCTCCTCCAGTTGGGCCTTCATATGCGCAAACTGTCCCAGAAGGGCCTCATTGGCGGAATTCAGGGCCTCGACGGCTTGGCAGTGCTCTTGTTGGCGGGCGACATCCTCGGCACGCTCCTTGCCCCCAGACTCCTCGTCCTGGCGTTGCTGAAGGCGCGTCAGCTCCTGCACTGCGTGTTGTGCGGCGCTTTGCGCGACCTCCATCATCCTCGTCGCCTCCTCCTTCCAACGTCGCTCGCTTTCAAGCGCGACAAGGCGCTGATGTGCCTCAAACTCCCTTGCCAGCTTTTCTTCCTCCAGCTGCATGCACTCCTGCTGTTTTTGGAACTCCCGCTCACGTAGCCTCCGCTCAACCTCCAGAATCTCCGTGTGCTTCCTCCACACCGTATTTGCATGCGGAAAGGAGTTCGGTAGTAAAGGGCTCCCGCCTTCCTGCGGTGCAGAGGGCGCAAGCTGCGGATGCTGCACAGTGTCGTCTGTTTCACACAAAGCCGTAGCCGCGTGGTCAACCGCGGCTGTGCGTGGAGGTGCCTCAGGCGTGATATTTTCAGCACTCAATTCCGCTGTCAACGTCACGTTGTTGGTTGGCGGGGCGACACGTGGCGCCGGCGCCGATTCCTCCGCAAACAACTTCATGCGTGGCAAAGAATCCTTCAGGACATTGGCGTTGAGGCTCCCCTGAGGCACGTTGTCGGAGACGCAGCTCCCTGTGTGCATCTCATCCGCTGCCGGTGCGGCGGACACTTTTGCTGCCGCAGCTGCTTCCGCCGACGGCGCGCTGTCCGTGACTTTCCAGCCGTCTCCGCCACACACGTCCTCTGCGTCGTCCCACGCCGTGTGCGCAGGCCCCTTGAGGAGCTGCTCCCTCTCCGCGGGGCCCACCTCAGGGCCGTAGTGGCGCACAAGGAGCTCGAGCAGCTGCACCTCGGCGCCCATGTGTTTGACGAGTAGCTTCTCCACCTCTGCGACGCGCGCAGGGTCGTATTTGAGAAGCTGGCACCGCACGCGTTGTGTGACGCCTTCCAGGGGCTCCTCCTCCTTGATAAGCTCCGGCCCGAGCTGCCGCTCCAGCGCCTCGAGGAGCTCCCCCTCGTGTTCCTTGTGCCGATCCACCTCCTCATCGCAGTAGGGCAGCTTGGCCGGGTGGTACTGGGCGTACATTGCACGAACACGCTCACGTGTGGTGCGTGGGCGTTTGCCGTACTCCTCGTAAAGCGCATCCACGAACGCAATCTCGTTTCCGCGCCACTGCGCCAGCAGGCCTTCCATCCCGGCCAGCATGGACTTGTCGTGCCGGTGGAAATAACACTCGGCCACCTCCATCGCCTCCTCGCTCCTCAGCGGCATTGGCCCGTACTCAATCGAAAGGGACTCAACCAGCCGCCTCTCGTTGCCGCAGTGTTGACGAAGGGCGTCAACGAAGGAGCCGGCAATGCCGTAGAACTCGTACAGCTGCCGGACCGCGTCGCAGTAGTACTCAAGCGGCGGCAACTTCGCAACTCGCTCCGCGGTTTCACAGTTTTCGTAGACAAAGCGACCTTCCGAGGCCTCCCACACCGGCCGCCAGCAATGCACTGGCAGCGGCTCGAACGGCAGTCGCTGCGGGACGTACCGCTCGCCGCCGTCGGCCGTCGCCAACTCGTAGCGTGTGCCGACGACCGTCACCGCGGCCGGCGGGGAGGGCGCCGCGTCGCCGTCCCTCGGCGAAGCGTCGAGGGCAGTCTCCGCGGCAGCGTCGGGGAGCTCCCACGACTTGGCCTTCGTCGCGACGTTGACGTAGAACTCCTGCCCACTCCGTGGGTCCAGCTTGACGAGGAAAGTGAGGGCCAAGTTGTTTGGCTGCGACTGCGGGGCAAGGCACTGCCGGCCCTGCACCGTGCACACGATGTAATGCGTCGACCCCGACGTGCGGGGCTCAACCTCACGCACCGTTGGCATCCGTGCAGCTTCCCGGCGCGGCGGTGCACACAATAAGAAGCAGAAAAGAGAGAGAGGGAGAGCATTTATTATTATTTTTTTTTACAAAACAAACATATACATATATACATACATATATATATATATATTTAAAAACAACAATAATGGCACTACTGAAAATCACAATGAGCAAAGCAGCCACGAGACACGCAGGGATGCGTGGTTTGCCTCCTCGAACACGCGCAGTAGGAGGGAGGCGAGGCCCTTGACGAGGGCGGCAAAAGGAGTTTTATAAGGACATTAGAGAGACACACGCACCCACGCACCCAGTCTTCCGGACGCAAAGGATAATAACAACAGGATGTGCGTGTGGGTAGATGGACATATATAAACATACATATGCCGCAAACTCCCTCCCCTCCTTCGCTTCTCACCCCGTGTACAGGTCCTCATCTTCCGTTGACACGGCGCAATCGCCATGACGCAACTCATTTAAGACATCATCCAACACCAACTCGGCCGCAAGTTGTTCGCGTATCCGCTCGAGAACCGGCCAGAGCTCCCTCTCCCCGCGCAGTATGTGCTCCTGGAACACCTGCATAGGGGGCGGCTGGAACTGGACGGAGGCGAGGACGTCCGAGAGGGAGGTGGCGGGAAACACCTTTATCACGTCGTCCGCGTCCATCTTGACGTCGGAGAGGAAGTCCCAGACGTACTGCTGCAGCGGCGTAAACGAGACGACAAATGCGGCTAGACGCCACCACTCCTCCGAAACCGCGTGACCGAGACGGGCCGGGAGGGAGGTACGGCCGGCCAGTCGCAGGAATGGCAAGTGCGAGGCGGAGCACTCCGAGACAATAAAACACTTGATGTGAAACAACTCACGCAAGCGCTCGAGACCGTCGATGTTTCCATCCGAGCGTCTGCCGACGCACCCCATGACCGGTGGATCGTACGGCACCACGCAGTCATTCAAGTCTCTTGCCAGCAACGGATAGCGCTCAAAGAAAAGTGGCATGGAGGCAAAGGAGGCCGCCACCGCGCTATACACAAGCACGCTGGGAGCGGTGAGATAATTTAGTATACGCAGCGGCGGGGCGGTGGTGTGGGTGCCGCCTGGAGTCTCGGGAGTGTACTCAATGTTCAGAACACGCCCAGTAAGCTGGTAGGCCTCAAGAAAGGTCAGATCTCCAAGGTGCTTCCGCAGAAAATCCACAAGCACGTGGATGTTGAGAAAATGTCCCGCGTGCCAAAAGCGGTGCCAGCGCCAGTCAAAGAGTCCGAAGGTTGCCTCACTGAACACGGCAAACTCCGACTCCTCCATCTCAAACAGCTCCGACAAATTTCGCCTGCAACACAAAAACGCCGCCACGATGGCACCGGCTCTTCCGCCGCAAAAAAATCTTGGCAGCAAATTGGCATTCCAAAGCGCCTTTGCTGCCCCAACGTGAAAGCGTCCCATTAGCATGCCCCCGTTAAAAACAAGGGCGGTACTGCCATACACACGGGCCATCTGTGCCAGGGTGAAGTACTTCTTCCTAGCCTCGACCGCGGTGTCTCGGGCAAGCTTTTGGATCAGGTACACAAGCAGGGAGTTGTAGGCCTCAATGACGGCCTTGGTGCCTGAGAGGTAGCGGTACAGGTTGGGGTTCGTTATGCCGAACACAGTGCGCTGCAGACCCGTTGAGAGGGCCGCCAGCAGCAGCTCCGCATTTCCCTCCCTCTTCAACGCCGTCAGGAGTCCAATACGGCCAAAAAGCCCTTCCGAGTTCATGTACCGTGGCTCCTCTCTCAGTCTCCAGGCCTGAAACCCGTTCAGGTCGTCTAGTCGGCGGGCAATGACTATCCATTCCTCGTACGTGCGGGCCGCCCTCGCCCTCTTTGCCAGCACCGAGTGCGTCGGCGAGCCCAGCGGAACACCAAACACGCCAGCGACAACCTCCCATAAAAGACCCAACACGCTCCACAGAGTCCACATGAATCGGTGAAGGAATCCTTGACGCATCCTTCCAGAGTTTGTTTGCTGTCTCTCTTTAAATCGCACCCGCGGCAGAAAACTACTCTACCCGTGCAAGTCCTCAGAAAACAAAGCCAGCCAGGCAAAACATCGTCGGACCCCCTACCGCACGCAGCAGCATCGCCCAACGCGGAGAGCAATACTATACATATACTATACATGTACACGCGCACACGCACACACATATGTATGTATATATGTATATACCCACGCACAGAAGGTGAAAAAGAAGAAGGAGCAGAATGGCAAAAAAAAAACGGCGAATTCCAACACGGTTCAACGTCTTTCGGACAGGCTTTCGTCATCCACGCCAGGGCCCTCTTCTAGATATTGCGTCAAATGCTCTGTACCGCCCATCGTGCCACAGTTGACACTACCCTCCATGATTTGCCCCACTCGCGGGTTCACAGGGTGATCGTACATGGAGTCAAGGTCCGCAGCATACGCCACGCCGCTTTCCTGCAGTGACCCTTGAGTCTTATGAAAGGCTCTCGGGTAGGGGATCCTGTAGTGGAGGCCGATCTCGTACCGCATCTCTGCCTCGCGCAGCTTTCGCTCAATAGTTTCCACGTCGGTGATGCCTGCATTCTTTCGGAATAGGCGCCGTGCCTCCTCCAGCACGTACAAGGCGTCCTCGTCTGTCTCCCACGGCACGGCAAACGAGGCCTTGAGAAACTTTCTATACCACGCGAGGACCTCGCCTCGGTACGGGTTGCGCCGCTGCAACAGCTGCATCTCTCTTGCAGCGGCAGCAGCCGCAGAGGTGCCTGACCGTGCGAGCGCCAGTGGCCCTTCCCCGCCGCCTCCGCCACAATCCCGCAGCCCTACCTGAAAGCAGAAAGAGGAATAATAATAATAACGCTAAAAAGAGCTCCAACACAGGGATTCCATCAGGGATGGTGTTGCACACGCACAGAGGGAGCGACAGGGAGGGGAGGGACCGCACCGACAAACGCATCCTCAACCAGAATAGTAGTAACAAGAACAACGACACAGGCTCTTGGCGACTTGCCACATCCCTCGTCTTGTGAAGCGAGCAGAAGAGCAAGAGAGTCGGTGTCGCTTTTTTGTGCCTCTCAAAACTTCACTTACAAAGTAGTACTTGACGCGCAATTCGCCAAAAACTTGGGCTTTACATTTTGCCCGCTGTCAATTGGGGCTTCTCATTGGCTCTCTTTTAAATAGTATGAAAAAACAAAAGAAAGAAGTGGTGATGTTACCCAGGGAAGGATGAATCAAAAACAAAAACGCACTACCTAACCCTAACAAAGCAGCGAAGCTGCGTTTTCCTCCTTCTACAAGTTCCAATGCGACGCACCCGTCTTCACCTCTCAAGAGGGCGAGAACCACAGCGAGAGTGGTGAAACGCGACAAGGTAGAGGCCTTGGGGTGGTGTTTGTTTGCTTGTTATTCATTTATTTTTATTTTATTTTTGATCTTTTTTTTTTTTCTCCTCGTCCCCTGGAATTCGAAGACCCGTGTTCCGCTACGCCGCGGAAGAGCACACCCGCAGCACCGCGCACAAAGGCGGTGCACAGGGGCCCGGGCACGCGGGGACCGCGCGCATGGCCTTCACTCAATCCATTCGCGCGTATTCTTGCCGGGTGTCCGTATCCGCGGCGGCGGCCCGCTAAAGCTGGCCCCCCAGTGGCGCAGCACAACCGCCGCGGAGGCGTGCCCCGCCTCCACGCAGAGGTCAACGTTGGGGTGGGAGATGTACTGCGCCAGAAACCCGCCGGCAAACGCATCGCCGGCCCCAGTCGCGTCGACGATGCACGCATAGTCCACCTCTGGCACGGCGTAGACCGAGACGCCGTTCTTGGACGCCGCAAACGTATTTTCCGCACCGCAGGTACAAACCACGAGACAGGGACGCGACGCATTCTTTTTTGGCAGGCAAGCCAAACGCATCAGTATCTCCTTAATGCAATCCCCAACCTCGTCGCCCCACATCACAGCACCGAGGGCAAGGAAGTCGTCTTTGCAGCCAAAGAGAATGTCGGTATACGGAAGAAGGAGCTGGACGCGATCACCGAAGGCCTCGCTTATATACGGGGCATTGAGGTTAAAGCAGAACAGTTTATCCTCACGGCACGCATGCTCAGCCACCAACAGAATATTGTCAGGACTGGAAACGGTGTTAAGAAAGAAGCCTTCCATGTAAAACAAGTTGGCTCTTGTGATGGCTCGCTGCATCTCTAAGCTCTTCATGTGTTCCAGCGAGAGCTGCGTGGCGGCGCCAAGGTTAGCCAGCATGGCCCGCTCCTTTTGGACAACCAGCGAGGCGCAGGTGCCGGTGGGAATCTCCTCATGGACCTCGAAGAGGCACTCCAGCCCGGCGGCGTCGAGGGTGCCCTTGAGGATCCCGCAGAACGCGTCGCTGCCAATGCCACCCACAACACAAGCCTGTATCTCGGGACACAGCCACTTCATCGTGCGCGCCGTGTTCATGGCAGCCCCGCCAGCGTGGTAGACGGTGGTTTCCGACGCCAGCAAGGCCGAAAAAACGGGCATCTGCTCCGGCTTGGCCAGCTCGACGCTGTCCCTGCGGATGCCGTAGGACGCCAAGTACCCCTCGGAGGCGACGCCCACCATGTCCAGCAGGGGGTGGCCGAAGAAGAGCCCGCTGGCGGCCGCCGCCCGCGCCTCCACCGCCGCACCGTTGCGCATCCCTGCAAACACCCCGCGTTGAACCCTCTCCGCACGCGGCGAAAGGGGCACACGAGGGAAGAAAAGGGGGGAAGGGGAGAGGGAGAGAAAAACGAAAAGAAAAAAAAACGGACGAAAAAAATAATAATAATAAACAATAACAACAAGGGGAAAAGTGACTCTCAAAAAGGTAGCACGTAACAGAAGGAAAAGCGCCGCCGATCCGGCGCGGGAACCCTCCGGCGGCCGCGGCGGAGACGCTCGCCCTGCAAGCACACGGGCCACACACACACACACACACGGAATAAAAAGAAAAAAGAACCACGCACACGCGAGCCGACCCCCCCCCCAACACTATGCAGAAATGGGGAATTGGACACAAACTCCGCACAGTATGCGGCAGGAGCAAAACCAAAAAAAAAAAACGATAAGTAAGAACTTACAAACACCGAAGAGAAGAAAAAAAAAAGATGGGGGAAAGAAATGGGGAGGACATGGAAAAATTATCCTTTCCTGGGAGAGGGGCTTGGTGGCTCGCTCGTGAAAATGGCCGACCGGCAAGCCTTGCATACTTTGGAGTTCAGGAGATACAGCTTCTCACGTGCCTCCTCAAGCTCAGCGTTGAGTTGGTGCGCAATGGCCGACTGCTTAGTCATCTCCTCCACCGCCTGCTTCTTGCGTTTATTGTAGTTTGCCTTTAGGAGTTCGTCCTCCTCTTCCAGCTGCCGCAGCGTCTCATTCAACACCTGGTTTTGCTTCTCTACCACCAGCACATTGTTCTGCAGGCGATGCATCTTTTCCTGCACAAAGGCCAGCTCCGCCTTCACCCCTCCACGCTCCCTTGCCAGCTCTTGATGCGCGGTGAGGAGGTCCTCTGTCTTGGCGTGGAGCTCCTTTGCCTGCCAGATGTTCTGCCGTCCAGTCAAACTCTTCTCGTTGGCAACGGCGTTGTGCAGCCGCGTCATTTCCTCCTCCGCCCTCGTCACCTGCAGCTGAAGCTCAAGCAGCATCGCCGCCGTCTGCTTCTTCGCCTCAACCAACTCCGACGTCCTTGCCTTGGTGGCCTCACCGAGCTTTGCCGCCTCGTACTGAAGATAATTGATGGTCCGCTCCTGCTGCAACGTCGTTTGCTCAAGCGCCACTGTCTCCGCCTCCAGCACAAGACGCTCGCACCCCAACTTTTCTACTTTTCGCTGCAAGCTCGCCGACTTGTTGGTGAAACTCACAATTTCCTTCGTGAGAGCGTCTAGGGAGTCAATTTTCTTTGCAATAGCCTCCTGTAGCCCCTTACCCTTTGCCTCCGCCTCTGGGGCGGCCTTCTCCGCCGCCGCTATCGCGGCAACCGCGTCGGCGTGTTGCTCAGCGAGAGAGTCCAGGGAGCCCCGCAGCGTCTGCAACTCCTCCCGCAGCGCCTCCTTCTCCTCCCGCAGCTCGTCGACAACCTTCGCGAGCCGTTTGTTGCCCAACTCGGCATCTATGCAGCGGACGGACAACGTGCGGTGATCCCGCTCCAGCTCGGCCGTCGCATCCATGGCCTCCCTGTAGCGCTGGCTGTTGAACTTCCCATCCGTGTTGACGCCCTGCAGCTGCAACTGGACGGCCTCACGCTGCGCCTTTAGCGCCGCCTCGTCCTGTTGCAGCGACACGATGGCCGCTGTGCCCCGCTCAAGTATGAGCAGTGGATCATGCTTGATAGCCTCAAACTCCCCACGGGTGAGCAGGGGGGCAGCGTAGTCCTCCTGCATGGCAGACACCCTAACCTCGCCCCCCCTCCCCCCAGCTGAGCAAGAATGCGGCAGATGAACACACACACATACACACAAATAACGTGTAAGCAAAAAAAAAAGTTGGGGCAGCGGGGGGATAAGGAAAGGCAAGTCCTTTTTGTTTTGTCCTGCTCTCGGGGGGTGTGAA